TACGTACGTACGTACGTACGTACGTACGTACATACACACATCATCAAAAAAATTGGCTAGCATGCTACTAATATGTTAAAACGTGGAAATATAATGAAAATTCCGATTTCACTTTTCGACCCAATTACAATAACTTCCTAATGGGAAGTTAACTAGAGATTACTTTAAATTAATAAGGAGATATGATAGTTTTCTTCAAATAAAGTTTGGGAAATTTTGTACGTATTCAGATGCGTTCCAACGTACCCTGGTGAGTGCCCCGGGTTCATTTCCCGACCAATACAACACCTTTTGACCTACCCTAACCTAAAATAGTTTTTATTTTCTGCATCTTTATAATGATATATGTTGCGTTCCCTGCTTTTATACTAAATAAGGAAAAATGTTGGACAAACTTCGAAGTTCATGTATTAATATAATGATGTATTTAAGTAGATTCTTATCAACTACTAGATTGACTTTTGCAGTACAAACATTGCAGACTTTCACGCAATCCACTCATTAAGGGTTTGTAGGATTTGCAGCTTTCTACGTAAGTTTAGTCTACTTGATGCTATCCGTAAACACAAATATTGGTTAAATTGGTGTAGTGAGGAATATAACTGTTTAATTTTGTGTCTTATTAGATATTAGGTAATATTTAGAAATAATAAAATAAAATACCAGAAGTATCGAAATGTGTAATACTCTTCTCGATTTAAAAAAAGGAAAATAAAACGGTTTAGCCAAAAACTCTAGGAGAGATATGGACACAGCATGCAACATATAGACAAAATAAAAAAAAAATGAATGTAACAAGGAAATAAATTAAAAGCCACGCAAGTGGTGTGAAGAAAAAGAAAGAAACAATAGACGATACACTACATTTAGCATAAGAAGAAAAAGGTGGATAGGTGTTTATCCTTATTGTGGATATAGTAAGAGATTTTAAAATAGAAGACATGTATGGAAAGAACTAGGAAAAAGAATAGAGAGAGCAAAAGAAATTTCTTTTAAAATATTAGTGGATAAACAGTTCTAAGAAAAAATGTAATTTGGAAGAAGGTGCAAGGCAAAGGTAACTACTTAGTATATAGTAATTTTCGATTTTACTTTTGCGAAATTAGGAAAGGGAATAAAAAAACATAAGAATGATCAGTAGTAACCAAAAATTAGAAACCTTGAACAGTAATATACTGCAGGTTGTGGTAATTGGATAGAACGAGCTTATTTAACGCACTGGTGGAAGGAGTGATAATGCATGGAGCAGAAATATGAAGTTGAAGAGAATACGAAGAAACAGAATGAATACAAAATAAGTATATCAAATGGACCACGAAGTTGGAAAAGACGAGCCCTAGTGATTCGATTTATATCGAAATTAAAAGAGACAATCTATCCGTTAAAGCAAGAAAAGGAGTGGAAAGGAAAAAATAAAATGGCGAAAGAATATGTCTTGACACGAAGTAAATTACAGGGAAAATAACTTCAAGAAAAGCAATACGAACGATAAGAAGAAAATTTTCTGAGCATATACAGCGATCATGGCTTATTTCTCTATGGTTTTTAATTTTTTTTTATTGCCGTATACGACGTATGATATTATTATATCGATTATATTTAATGTGTGTATTTACACAACTTCCTTCCTTCTTTGTAACCTACCTACTTATCAAAGTTCATGTGAAGGCAATAATAACTATAATAACAACAGAATTCGTTTTTGACTACTATAAAACAAAAATATCATTGTTATTTTATGGACGCAATAAGACGCGGCTTTTATATTTTTTCATTACCTACCCTGTATATACCTCACGACTCTGAAAACTAAGTTATACTTACTAATTTTTGGAAGACTATTTCAAAGTAAAAGTTAATCTCTAATTAATTTTAAATATTAAATTTTGCAGCAAACAAATGAACATAATAGGGATTAATGCTGCTGTAATATACCAATTAATCTCTGTGTTTATGGGTGGACTATTTTGGTCCAAGTACCTTAATACGAGTTGTTGAAATAGCTGATAGAATTTTCGATGATTTAGTTGGCATACATCCCTATGAGAACAAGGGATTGTTAGCGCCATTTCAAGTCGCCCATGATCGATGACGTTATCTGTATCGGGAAATTTTGGTAGTTCCCGAGGACCATGGTGGACGGACTGGTGATCGGTCCAGGGGGCATTCATGTGTGAGTCATTAAGAACAACATGTTGAATAGCTGTATTGGTTATTGTAACTCATTGAAGTTTGTTGAAATAAAATTACCAATTGTTAACAGGATGATACATTTGAAGGCGAAACAGAACATTTTATTTTTCAAATAGCAGCATCAGGCAAGATTTTATCATAAGGCTACTTTTTCCTATCCTAAGCTAATATTCGCAGTTCCTTAACACTCGAACAACCCACATCCTTAAATATTTGCGAACAGTAATTTAATCTAGGCTTACCTCTACCCCTCCTAACTCCCGTTTCTGCTTCTAATATGTCTCTGCCTGAGAAGGTATCTTGCCAACCTGTCCTGCCTATTTCTTATTGATTTCCATAGAGTCCGCTGTTCTCATATGTTTTCTAATACCTCTTCATTTATAACTCTCTCTATCCACAATATCCTCATCATTCACCTGCAACACCACATTTCGAACGCTTTTAACCTTTTCTTTACCGCAGCGCCGACCGACCATGTTTCGCACCCGTACAGCGCCGCGCTCTAAACACACACCTTTAACATATTTTTTCGAATTTCTAAATTAACCGTTCGCAAGCAAGATTTATTAACAAATTTAACATACATATACTCTTGTTAACTACAGCAATAATTATACCTACAAAACTCTAATGTAATATGAGACCGCGATTTTTCATTAAAACAATGATCAAATTAGAATCATTTGACACTTACTTCTTTAGTAATATCATATAAAGAGAAACAGAGCAGTGCCATTTTGAAAATGCCACATTAATATCTTTCAACTTCATTAATTTTTTCTTTTTCTCATTAATTTTTTACATTTTGTAAATATACATAAGTTTTCGTTCAACAAAGCTATAAAATTATGATAATTACAAAGAAATCCATCTATTATATTCTTGTGGTCCACAGAGACAACTTCCTTTTATCGTTAAAGTGTAACTAAAAATTGTTGCGCAACGCCCACGAATATGTCGCACAGTACGATAAGCCGAGTAATTTATAAAGTTGTGAAAATAGCGGGAAAACAATAAATCAAACTGCTTGTCGCAGTCAGAAGAGGAAAAATTGTTCCACTTAATTTCTTAAGAAAATGTATAATGATTGCCGAAAGTTTTTTAAAGGATTAACGTTCGGAGAAGTTGAAAATTCTTTTGAAGTTTTAATAATTAGTTCTTTGAATTAGAAGAATTCCTTAGATAACTTTTTAACTGATTGATGTCTACCAACAATAATGATAACTGAAAATTACAATACTTAATTAAACTGGAAGGAATAATTATACCTATTAGAATAGCAATTAAAATAAAAAATTTATATAAGTGATATCACATAATTACGCTTGCAATTTCATTTTTCATAACGAGATAATGTAATATATTTCTTTTCTTTCTATTTAAATACTCGCACTTTTTTTTTGATTATCATGTTGAGCTTTATGGTAAATTGGATAAGTTACCTAATATAGAAAATACTACAAATGGCGCAGTAAACGCCATCTGTAGCACGATGCTACATTTTAGGATTACGTATGCTCCAACAAGGTCCACTTGTGTGGATATCTACTTGCTGAAAACGAATCC